GGACAGTGTCCAGTGAGAACTCCTACCATAGCGGCAAGATGAACTTTGTTCAAGGCGAGAAGATCCCCCGACCTCCTGCGATCCACTCTCGGCCCGAAGGATCTCGCAGTCTCTCCTGCGCAGTTGGTCGTCGACCAGCATCTTCTGAGTGCATGCAAGGTCCATTTGATCCAGATCCAGAACGCAAGACGTTAGTGGAGATCCAACTCGATCCCATTCCGATGTGAGCAATGCAAGGGTGCCTCCCCTGGCTAGCTCATCGGCTTTGCAGTTGCCAGCGATTCCGCTGTGACCAGGTACCCAAACGAGCCTGATCTTGAAGTAGCCTGATGCTAATTCTAGTGAGGACAGACACTCCTTGACTAGCTTTGATTGCACGGTTCGCGCACTCAGGGCTAGTATTGCCTCTCTAAACGAGGCTGCATTTCGTAGCAATACTTTTACCGCCACCTTGATCGCAGCCACTACCGCCTGAAAAACGCTGTAGTGGTCCGCTAGCCTGAAGCTAAGATTGACGGAGAGCTCTTTACAGAAAACTCCCCCTCAAACATTCGCCCCTAATTTCGAGCCATCCGTGAAAAAGCTCACCGCGCCTCTTCTCCAGCGGCTTCTTCCGACCCACATCTCTCTCATCGTGATATGAGCAGAGAAAAAGCCGCCTCGAGTGACCGCAGTGGCGCAGTGATCCAAGTTTTCAGGAATGCAGCTTTGGACCCGCTCAATCTTTTTGCCCAGAGTAGTCTTTTTGAGCGCCCTCCACCATACGAACACACCATAGAACAATATTGGTTTGACTACGGTTTCATAGAGCCAAAAAACCACCTTTGGTGAGAGGCCCCACCTTTTCCCTATAGCTCCCCTTCAGCAATATAATATATATGCCTTCTTAACTCTCTCCTCAATGTTTGGCCTTCAAGAAAGCTTTCTATCAAGGATAAGCCCAAGTTATTTCAGCAAATAATAAACAGGTTGAAGACGTGAACCCCCGAAAGAGGGCAGAGGCACATTTGGGATCTTATACCTCCTAGTAAATAAAACCATTTCGATTTTACTTAGGCTGACGGCTAGGCCGCTTCTATTTGCCCAGTTGGATACGACGTTTAAGAAGCCTTCGGTGAGCTCATAGACTGTATTTAGAAATTTTCCTTTAATCATAAGAACCACATCATCAGCATAGGCTGTCACCCGACAGCTTGGGGTTCGATTCCACCTCAAACTTTTCGAGGGCTTTAACCACTGCCTCTGGCCGAACGTTATTGAAGGCCCCCTCGATGTCGAGAAAGGTACCCACAGCAAATTTCTTGTGCAAAAGTGCTATCTCCAGCCATGACACTACATCGTGCAAAGCAGTGTCAACCTTCCTGTCCTTAATATAGGCATGCCCGTAACAGTTTATCCCTCGTTATTCTGCTCCTAACGTACAGATCCAAAAGTCTCTCCAGCGTTTTCAACAGAAACGAGGATAAGCTGATGGGTCTTAAATCCTTTGCGCCGACATGAGAGCTTTTACCGGCCTTCGGAATAGACGTAACCTTAACCTATCTCCAGGCCTTCGGGGACTCGTAGGGCTTGAATGATTTCAGCGCCCAGGTAAAGTTACGCTCATCGAGATGGTCCAAGAAGGCTGTACAGCCTTCCTGAAGCTCCCCAAGTGGCACTTCTTCAGTAGAGCAATTCAGCGGAAAATGAACATCTAGGAGTAGCTTCAGCGACTCCTCGCTACTCGTTGTCCACCCGCTATCTGCATTTCTAAGATACCCCACTAGAGTAGAATTTTTTGCAAGAATGCGCCTAAACCTTGAGGACTCGTGACAACCCTATACACTGCCGCCGAAGGCTCTACACGAAGCTCTCTTGGCTATCTTCAACTTGGACTTGTAAATGGCCATTACGGCCATATACAACGCCCGTCGTCACTAGAGCCACTTTTACGGGCGTTATTGAAGAGTGTTCTACTCGAAGATCTGATATCCGTTAGCTCCGTAGTCCATCAAGGGGGTTTCCCTTTACTTTTCTGAGTTCTCAGAGGATAGGAGCTTTCAATAGTAGTTCTACTAACAGAGCTGAAAACCTCGCCGAGCTCATCAATCGCGTCTGAAGATAGGATCGAATCCCTGTCAGGCGCGGTTGAAAGAGCTGATCGAAGCTTCCTGCAATACAGGAGCCAATTGGTATACCTGAAATTTCTATAGGTTTTGTGCTTCGGACGTGAGGCGTCCAAGCTGAACCCAATATATTTATAATCAGAAAAGCAATGATCGTCTAGAATTCTCCATTCCGAGATCAAGGGAGCAAATTATCAAGAGGTTAGCGTGATGTCAAGGACTTTCGCGCTGCTAGCTGCACAAAAGTAGGGCAGTTTACCCTATTGCAAATAAAAAGGTCTACGCCACAAATAAAATCAAAAAGTGACTCACCTCTTGCGTTTGTGTCCGAGCTCCCCCAGACGGTATGCCTTGAATAGGCATCCGAGCCTATTAGAACAGCGGAACTAGGCATCCAGCCTAGCAGTGACGACGTCCTCGTTGCTGAAATTAGGTAAAAGCAAGACATTCAGTTCGTTTCTGACCATCAGACAGGCTCTGGTTCAACCTGTGCTGCTTGCCGCCAGAAGCGTGTATGACCGTTCGAGGTTCCACCCGGCACTTTCACATCTAGGGGGTGGTCCAGGATTTCCTCTGGCCACCTTCATAAAGACAGCGTAGGTAGCAGCCGCTACCCGGTTCCACTCGTCATGGGAGATGGCTCCATCTCCCCTGCTTTTTGCCGAGGAAGGATTCCCCCTCCGGCGATCTCTGCCGCTTTATCGAGGTATAAGGCTCCCTCTGCCCCACTTTCCCGTTGCCCACGTCTCTCAGCACCCTTTTGACCCACTCAAGTGTGCTAGCATGCTGATCAGATTTCTGATCCACCTACTTTCCACCGTAGCGCTCCAAAATCTTGGCAGCCAACCGACGATCAGACTTCAGGTTTTTAGCTGCAGTCACGCGCTTCCCCACAGGGCCCTTAGCGTTTGCCGAGGACCCCGTACCCTCTATGAACTTAGCAGAGGTTCCTTTGCTAGTACTGGCGATTCCGTCTCGGACTTTCGCCCTATCCAAGGTTTCAGTCGACAGACTCCTACCCACCCCCTTGCCCTACCGCCCCTAGCGCCGGTAAGCCAAGCACCTCCTGGATTTTTATCCTCACCCTTTACTGGAGACGATTTCGTCCCCCTCGGGGAAAGAGTCCCCGCAGGGAACTGTCCACTGTAGCAGAGGCCGGTTTCGACCTGCTTTCCGATTTGTGCTTAGTATTTTTATTTGTATCAATTGGGTCCCCACTCAGAGCCGCTATCCGCCTCCCGGAAAGGTAGTCGCTTAAATGGTCCCAAGGTTGTCTTAGTTACGAGGCCAAGCCGAAGGTTAACGCACGCCCTTATGAGGCAGTCCGTTCAGAGCCGACCAGCGCAAAGAAGGAGGCGTCTCAACAAACACTTACCATACTAACTTAATGATGACGGGAGGGGAACGTACACCGAGGTCTGCCATGGTTTACTACGACCACCAGCCCAGGGTTCAACCAAATCCATCTAATAGTCAAGGCTATGTCCATGTCGAGCAAAGGTCAAATAAAAATACCGTAAAGGCCGCAGGTCATTTGGCGTTATCCAGGATGCCCCGCGTGGTGGCGAACCTGCTCTACATCCCAAGCAAAATGGGGAAAATAATTCAAATATTACGGTACAAGTCTGCTTCAACCAATATACCTCAGTTATTTGGTCGAGGGTCAGCTATTGGTATCGCCTATAAGACTTTTATTACTAAGGTAACGCCTCACTTATCAGTTAGGGACTATATTACAATATTTGCATCTCAAATTTAGGAGAGGTGAAATCTTAAGGCTTCATGATACGATTCGGCTACCTATGATAAATAAAACATATTTTTCAATCACTTAAAAGTGAAGCCAATTTTTCAAATGCGGCAACTATTGAACCCGAATATAATTTAATCCGAACGTAGTATACTCGTTAATACATTCACTCCATGTATTTTCTCTATGTGATGTTATGGCAATAAAACATATCTTACGATTTTATCACCAGTAAATCATCCAGTAAAACTAAGACCACAACTAGTGAACATGTTTTATAAAATTATTTAGTATTCAAGAAGACTTTCAAGAGTGAAAAATAACAACTCACAGCAGTTACAGACTGATCGCGATGGTGATACCATTAAAATGTTGCTTTTGATGCGTTGCAGGTACGTTCGCAACAAAAGCAGTTTCTTCTTTAATTTACGGTCAAAGCTAAACCTATGTACATGTGTACATAGCACATACATATGTGTATTAAAATGTATGTAAAGAATGAGTGAAGGAACAATAATGTAAAAGAAATTGTTAAATAATGTCTCCACTCTCATCAGTCATGCGAAACAACAATCAACGCCACAACACTTTGATCTTGCAGCGCAGCTTGAAAGCGTACGCGCGCATGCTCAATTTGATTACAGGGTAATGAGCCCAGCCCGGTCCAGCCCAACACAATCTAGCAATGGATAAGCAGTTATACTATTATTTAAGAAAAATTATTATTTTATTTTTACTTTATGCGCATGCTTATGGGTGGATATTTAAAAATATGGGTAGTAAGTAGTATAATCATAATTTCACGGTCATTATTGATTGTTTACAGCAAAAGTAGCTATCAGACCACAGAGCAGTCATGCATACATATATTTGTTTGTACGAGTATGCATGACTACTTCTGGAAAACTGTGTTAAGGAAGTGTTTGCCAATAATTTACATTCAGGTCAGCTCAGTCTGCAACTAAAGCAATATGATTCACTCAATAAAAAAGTTATGTAAACTGTTAAGATGTAATGAAAATAATAGCTCCATTTGAATAACGGTGTACTGCTAAACATGGTAAAAAACCACATAATAAGTTATAAAAGCCCAAAGATCCTAATTGAGAGCTTTTTCATTTTGTTTGATTACTGTGAATGACTTATATGACTGGAAATATATCGAATTTCTTTATTATTTATATACATATATATACATCATAATATTACTACTAATGAATTCTAGTAAAATAATCAAAGAAACATTACAATACTGAGGTGAAGTGGTATCACGATCCGGAGCCAGCAAACGACACCGACAGAGTTTTCAAGTTCAATAAGATTGATGAGCGCGGTCTCTTGACATCTCGCCCATCTTCAACCTGCGGTATATATGCCAATACTGTAAATCAATTTTTGAAGTCGCCATTAAAGAAGAAGTGTCACTGACTTTGATTTTATTACGAAAAATCACTTCCAAAAACAGAATCAAATCACATCATCGATATTGCCCTTTTCCAATTTTTCTACTTCTGTACTACACGAGAACCGCCCTCTTATGTTGTTTGCCCATTCAAATATTTTTTTTTTAGTATTGTGAAAAAATGGTCGATGGTCAACCCGGCTGACCCTAAAATCTTGTAGCGTTGTCAACCTTTTAGTACGGATAACTGATTAGCCGAATAATCTACTGAATTTATCATGTTAAGGATCATCAAAATCATTTCAGTTGTGCAAGAATAATATCTGTAATAAGAGCATGGGGTTATTAATGATCACTTGTATTAAAAGGAAAACATCATATTTTTTCATTGTGTTAAAAATGTCAAATTTCGTACCGGAAAGCGATGATTTGCGGAAAGCATTAATATTTTTGTTTGTATTTGAAGAAAAGTGCTGCAGAGTTGCATCGAATGCTTGTCGAGGTATATGGTGATGCTCTAGCAGAAGCAACATGCAAAAGATGGTTTCAACGGTTCAGAGATAATGATATTGATGTGAGAAATGAACAACGTGGAAGACTACCAAAAAAGTTTGAAAACGCCAAACTGCAAGCAATATTGGAGTCAGGTGATACTTTGGGTTAAAATCAAATGGCAGCCATGTTAAATGTTGCACAACAAACAATTTCAGACCGTTTGAAAGCGATGCAGGATCCAAAGAATCGAAGGTTTAAAATAGTGGTTGAATTGAATGAAAGACAAATGGAAAGCCGAAAAAACACATGTGAAATTTTGGCAATGCATGAACGAAAATCAGTTTTGCATCGAATTGTCACTGGCGATAAAAACAGATTTATTTTAAGAATCCTAAACGAAGAAAATCATGGGTTAATCCAGGACAACCATCAACATCGCCTGCAAAAACATATTGATTTGGTAAGAAGGCAATTATCTGTGTTTGGTGGGATCAGAAGGGTGTGATATATCATGAGCTTCTTAAACCTGATGAAAATGTTAATACTAATTGCCACAGACAACAAATGATTAATTTGAGCCATGCATTGATCGAAAAACGACCAGAATGGGCCAGAAGACACGGCAAAGTAGTTTTGTTACACGACAAGCACCCGCACACAGAGCAAAATCGCTTCAGGATACAATCAAAGTACTTGGCTGGGAGCTGTTACCCCATATGCCGTATTCATCAGACGTGGCACTTTCCGATTATCATTTGCTTTCATCGATGGGACACGCATTGGCTGAGCACCACTTCGATTCTTACGCAGAAGTCGAAAATTGGGTGTCTGATTGGTTTGCTTCAAAAGACGAACATTTCTATTGACATGGTATCCACAAATCACCAGGTGGTGTGTAAAAAGCAATGATTAATACTTAGAATAAATTTTTATATTTCCTATTCAAAATTAATTATAAAAAAACGCTCATTCTAAACCGGTGTATAGTTTGGACAAAATTTCGTAATACTGATTCATTGCACCACTAAAAAAAAAAAACAAGTGCTGAATTAATCGAGTTTTTGAAGCATTGAAACTACAAAAAGTGCATACTTGGAAAAAGTAAAGGTGTCGAATACTCGATAAACATATCGAATGATTTGAAAGCAGACAAATAATAAGGAAAACGTAACAAAACAACTAACAGAACTTCACGCCTACAACGAGTTTAGCAACCGCAGAAAAGACCGTAGGGTAGCATTGCCAACAGTGTTGTTGTAAATGTATATATTATCTGTATATATGTAAGTGCAAAGAATACTTAGTAATTTTTAGAGACATAACGAATGATTTATATATATATATATATGTATATCCCCTTTAGATGGCATTATGTAAATTTCGAGTCGACTTATGCACCCCTGACATTTCACCTGACAACTGCTGCTTTGGCATTTACTAATTGCACAGAGAGTATTTTTTTTCCACATTTCTTCATAATTCTTTTTATATTTTATTATAATTTACAAAACCACCAATTACTCAATGACTTGAAAGTGCCGCGTTAACTTATGTTCCACAACATTCCACAAAAGACTTCAACGCAAGCCACAAACGCATTGGACTTGATGTTTCCCCGCCAACAGCGTGGTAACTAAGTTTAAACCACTTACAAGAGCCAGAGAGAGCGCGCTCTTTATAGCGTTGATAGCAGCATTGATCGATGCAGAGTCACGGTAAATATGGGAAGGTTGGCTATTTTAAGCGCTGCGTAATATTTTGCAAAAATATCAATAAACTTGTTTACAATTTCGATAAGTAGAATTAAGTGTGGCATAATGGCAGAAACTGCGGCGGGTTTTGGGTTTTTTCGCGAAGAGCTTAGCAATCAACAGATATAATTGTGAGCATGTGTGAGTTTGTCTCCTCAATAAGGGGTATAGCAGGTGTGGTGAATACATATTGAGAGCGCCTGAACAGGATTTGGTAAATAATGTGTACTTAAATAGCAATAGACAGATCAAAATGATTATACCAATTTCAAAGTATTATATAACTTATAGAATTTTACTATTTCGACTTAAACGTTATTAAGAGCTGTAGAAGTGTAGCAACATAATATTTAATGTGCAAACAAACAATATCTCTGAATATACTCTGCAATTTTTAAACAATCTTACTTATATCCGCCACCTTTTCGTCTCTCTCGCTCTTATAGTAACTCTCATTCACCCGTGTGTTCTCCCGAAGTTTAGTGTATGCTCTCGTTTACCCCTCTACAATGAAGTTTTCTGTTGTGCTTCCTCAGTCGCTTGCACACTGCAAGAAATCCACCACGCTGCCCCACCGTTTTGGCCATCTTAATAAATAGAACTTGTTGCCAGTGGCCAACACCTAGTGTAAGCGTGGCTGTGTATCGAGTGTAAACCTCGAGAGCTGTCCGTTGAAGATCTTAACCAAATTTAAACAAAGTAAATAACATTTTTTTCTTTGCCTGCAGTTTTTGAAATTGTATAAATAACGAAAGTATCTTTCCATTAATTTCAGTTTAGTTTTAGTGGAAGCACATACGCAAAATGGCGCGTGTGTTGCCAATTTTCTCTATATTTTTGCTGTACTGTGCGCTAGGTGAGTAAAAAATAATAATTAGAAAATATTTTTAAATGTTTCGCTGCTGAGTTTTATAAAAAAATTTAATATTTTTAAGAAAAGTGTAATTTTTAAGAGTGAAAAAGTGCTTTAGAAGACAAGGAAAAAGTTTGAGCAATTTTTTTTATTGTATTTTGATGCTATTAAAAGTAAAATAAAGCTTAAGTTCTTTGGAATCTTTATAAATATGTTGTGCATATTGAAATCGCTAATTTTTCATATTTGTTATCTTTGACTTCAACCGGAAGGGATGTCGTTGCCTGTTTGAGCATTATAATTTCCACTAAGTTACATAATATGTACAAGTACATGATTTAAAGACGTAGACAAACATACAGTTATTCGTTTCCAAAATAGTAACATACAAATTTTGGAATTTTAGCCAATTTTTTTTTCAGTTTTTGTTTTTTAAATTATGAAAAAATTATCTTTGTGCAAGTATTTAATATAATTTTTGTTTTTAATTTTATTTTTGACTTTATTATAACTAAAAAAAAAAAATTTTAAATAATATTTACAAATTTTTATACTCTCGCAACCTGTTGCTACAGAGTATAATAGTTTTGTTCACCTAACGGTTTTTTGTATCACCTAAAACTAATCGAGTTAGATATAGGGTTATGTATATATAAACGATCAGGATGAAGAGACGAGTTGAAATCCGGGTGACTGGCTGTCCATCCGTCCGTCTGTCCGTCCGTCCGTGCAAGCTGTAACTTGAGTAAAAATTGAGATATCTTTAGGAAACTTGGGAGACATCTTTCTTGGTACCGTGAGACGGTTGGTATTGCAGATGGGCGTAATCGGACCACTGCCACGCTCACAAAACGCCATTAATCAAAAACAAATAAATTGCCATAACTAAGCTCTGCAATAAGATACAAGACTGTTATTTGGTACACAAGATCACATTAGAGAGGGGCATCTGCAGTTAAATTTTTTTTTTTTAAGTGGGCGTGGTCCCGCCTCGCTAATTCTATAATAACCAAATTCAGTGTAAGCAAATTTTTTAGCACTTCTATTGACGGTATGAAAATAGTTGAAATCGGGTGGTAACTCCGCCCACTCCCCATATAACGGTACTGTTAAAAACTACTAAAAGCGTGATAAATCAAGCACTAAACACGCCAGAGACATTAAATCTTATCTCTGGGTTGGTATGAGATGAAACCGCGTTGAAAACTAGACAGTGGGCGTGGCACAGCTCACTTTTACGTGAAAACCCATATCTTGAGATCTGCCAACCAACAACATCTCTAACCAATTTCAACAAAATTCAGTACATAACGTTATTTTCATATTTCTATGTTATAGTGCGAAAATGGGCGAAATAGGACTACAACCACGCCTATTTCCCATATAACACCATTTTCAATTCCATCTGATTGTTTCACTTTCCACTATGCATATCAAGCAAAATGATTATATCGGGGTAAAACTTTGCGTGAATAATACGTTTAAAGTATGCCACCTTGTGACCAAAAATTGTCTAAATCGAACCAAAACTGTTCAAGCCCCTAAGTACTAAATATGTGTACCCCAGTGCCTATAATTGACCTTCTACCGAAAATATCAGCCAATCCACAAAGAAATCTCAAACAAGTATACCATTTGACTTTGCGAGAGTATAAAATGTTCGGTTACATCCGAACTTAGCTCTTCCTTACTTGTTCTAATTAGATTTATTCAAAGTTAAAATATTATTTTAAATATTGTAGAAAATATAAAAAAAAAATGAACAACAACTTACGAATTGTATTTTATATAGATAAATTAAAACAAAAAAATGTATCCATTCCAATAGTAAACTATGTAGTTTACATTAGTATTAACCATTTTTTTAAGGGGTTTCAATAAATAGTTGGAGTAACATTTCCCAAAACAAATAGTACTCACAGCTATATATATCCTCGAGACTACTTTCGCGTTACTTGAACATATCATATCATTTTTCCCATCAGGCACCTTGCTACTCGTGTGATGAGTTTTCCCGGTGTGTTATCATCAAGTATCGAAGATTTGTAGACGCAAAAGACGGTAACCCTGATGATTAGCAAAAATTTTGCTTATAAAATCTATTACTACTTCTAACAGAAAGAGTTTCATTCAAATTAATGATCAGACCAACCCGGTCCTAATTAAGAAAAACTGACTTACAACGAGAGACGCAATCGAAGCTGACCATTACTTTTAATCGAAAATTTGGCGTACTTAATCAGCAACTCAAGAAGAAGAAAAAAACAAATAAAATCGTACTAATTATAGTCCACAAACTGGTTTCCTATAATGTCGCTGTGCATCATATTCTTGTTTAGAAAAAATCAAGGTTGACAACTAAAGGCTAAACGCAATCAAACCCCCCGTCTGCATCCACACACACACTTTTGCCAACTGACACTTGAATCCAAGCGCCTGCAATTGAAATGGCAAAAGTCGCATTGATTTAGCATTTGCCAATATCAATAAAAACAACAACAACAATATAGACGAGTTAACACACTTCAGCAAACACTTCGGCGAGCTAACTAGCTCACGAACAATCAATAAATCATTAAAGACATGCAATGTCTCGAGCGGTGTCTTCAAGATGCCAATGTTCCCAACAAGTTTGCTTGCATTTCTACCACCATTTTACTGCACTCACATGCACGCACACACAAGCACACAGAACTTCGTCCGCTAAGCATTCGAAGGTGCGGCCGCACATGAGAGGTCCCACTTTAAACCTTTTCTTTTGGACACTTGAGCGGCACAAATAAAAAACAAAAACAAAACATATCGTGTAACTACTGCACCTTAAATATACGGTTATTCGTGGGTGTTGCAAGCAATTCAATGCAACTGTGTTTAGTTGCAAGGGATTGAGTGTGTTGAAATGGACAGCAATGGGCTAACTTGTTAAACAGTTAAACTTCTTTATTTCCCAACACTTTTATTTGCTCACGCTGAAATGGTTTGTGTTTTTTAATAGTTTTGAGTGCTTTTTTCAATTTCTGTACGAAAAATGGAAGTAACTGATCTTAATATATGATTTTTAAAAGATTTTTTTAAAATCAATATTTTTCTGGGCATTAAAATAAGTGAAATACGATTACCTACTGTCAATTCGATTAATGATATATTTTGATTGCTTCATGGAATCATTTAGTTTATCAGAGCCACATCGTGTTGACTCTAATCAGTATGTAATTTATCGGTCATTCCATCCAAAATTTACATTCAAAAAGTTTTGTTTTTGTGTTCCTTGAGGCCAAACATTGGACACGTATTTTTTTTGTTTAAATAGTTCTAAATTGAAAAAAAAATGTTTGTTAATAAAAAAAGCTTTTGTTTATAAAAAAAAGTCGAATAAATTCAGTGTATAACTCATTGGAAACCTGAGAAAAAATCGTAAAGGGTCGGCTAGTTATTTTTACAATGAAATATTTTTCTTCGTAGACGAAAATGTTTAAGGGTGTTTTTTTCGAGCCTTGAAATTTTGAAAATTTATAATTCCAAAATTTTTCACACTGTGTCGTAATAAAAAAATATGTGTCGAATATTTTGATTCAAAGAACACAAAAACATGTTTTGCAACATTTGTATTAATTTATGGTCGAGCACATTTCATATTTTGGGTGATTTATACCACATTAAGTATTTTATGTTACAGTGTGAAGGCATACAAATTAAAATAATGAATATTTGAATTATGAATTATTTAAATTGATTTTAATCAAATCATTCATTCAAAGTAAATCGAATTGTTATAAAATATCTTTACCTTTTAAAACTTTGGTATAATATTATTATTCTATGATGGCTTTATAAAAATATCGATATAGGTAACCAGTAAAAAAGCTTTAAGTGGTGTGCATATAAATATATTTATACATATATGTATATATGAGTGTTTTAAAAAAAAATTAAAAGTAATATAAATTACTTGCATAAAAAATCCATTTGCTTTCAATTTCCAAGATGTTAAAGAAAAATAAAAAAAATGCATAAGAATAAAATACCTCAACCAGTTAACTTCTTGCACAAAATTTAGGTATATGTTAGCATTATAATTAGTGATTACAGGTATTTATAAAAATGTAAATGTTATGCAAAGTTGTTGAGCGCCCGGCGTATGCATTACAAATTAGATATAATTAAGGCCAGTAATAGCAGAATTGATGAAATACCAGTTAATTTCAACACCACAGGGAATTCATAAGCATATAAGCATTTATATATATGTATATGTATGTATTAAAAAAAAAAAAAAAAATTTTTATTTATTTGTGAATTTCTAATCAATCTGCATAAGTTACGCTAAAGGCAAGGGGCTTATGTCTCATTTTGATCACTGCCTCCATAATATGTTAACTTATTTCGCTTGCTCGGATATTTA